AGCGAGAGAGAGGGAGAGAGAGAGGGAGAGAGAGAGAGCGAGAGAGAGGGAGAGAGAGAGAAGGAGAGAGAGAGAGAGCGAGAGAGAGGGAGAGAGAGAGGGAGAGAGAGAGAGGGAGAGAGAGAGAAACAGGGGCACTAAAGGGGGTTGGTCATTGGTGGATGGGAGAAAGAAAAGGATAACGAAAAAGTAATGCATGTGCACACACCTAATACATTCATTGCAAATCTTGAGAGGGAGGAAACTTTAAGTTCAAAAGCAATAACAATGACACAGAGTCCCTAAGATACACACACGCACACACACACACACACACACACACACACAAACACACACACACACAAACACACACACTTCCACACCGCTGTAGAGCTTAACATGTGTAAAAGCCATTGAATACAGCATAATTCTGTTTTTGAATCATTACTAAGTTCTGTATTGTTTATCACGTTGTGCTCTACGTTAACTGCAAAGTTACCTTCCCAGTTCAGTATTAGTGAATCAGCATTTTTTAAAAAGAAAAGAAATGAATTAGGAACATCTTTAGCCATTCTGAAAAAAAAATGTCCTTTGATAATTTGAAAGTCTTCTTTAAGGGGGATGAAATTTGAATAGATTGACCGATAGGAATGAATCATGCTGATGAAAGTTTGGTAAAAAATTAGTAGAATGTTTTTTGGGCAGTGGTGCTCAGTACTGACTTAGAAATAAAGCAGTTGCTGAACACTTTTGGCTTTTAAAAATTATTATTGATGCATCAGTTGTGAGGTTGAAAAATTGCCAGAGGAACTTAAAGGATATAAAAATGCCTTTTTAACATGTCCATAGAGTTTGGAGCTAACTTAGGGGACCGGTTTGTTGCTCTTGTACTGCACAATTTAAGTTCACTTTAGTTTTTTTATATTGCTAATTTTTCTACGAACAAGCAAGTACGTGTTGTAATATTCCATTTAAGGCAATTTTTAATTCCGTTTTGCAAAAACTGTTTGTCTAGAATGAAAATCGTCCTGCTAGCGAATATGTCTAAGACCTGTTTTCATAACCCTTCTTGAATCCTCTCTTCTAGTGAGATGGTTTGGAGAACTTCATTCGCTTCAGTGTTGTAAAAATATTTTCTTTCTTTGAATACAATTGCAGACCTGGAAAATATGATGGGCTCTATGTGTATCCCAAAGAAAGAATGTCCATGTGTTGATGATGAGGGACGTACAGTTCTCCCAGATGCCCACGTGACCATCAAGTGTCAAGAATGGTAAGCTACAGCATGTCTCCTGGCAGGGTTAATAGAAGACACCTTTATCTTCTCTTTGATTGTCTTTAGACATGCACATAGTTATATTGCACACAGTTACACAACTTCTGAGTTGTATGTTTTCCAGGCAAATCTGATTTTTTGTGCTACTCTAAAGTGATTTGTTTTTATTAACTTGATTTGGCACTGTTGCGTGACAAGAAGCCATATTAAAGGTAAAATATAGTCTCATGAATAAGGTTATATTTCTGTTCTATTCTATTTATTTTTTGGCATGTTTATTTGCTCGGATCTTGACTGCAACATAGCAAAGTGAAAGTAGTGAGAGACGTAACTAGACTATGAATGAGTTACACAATAATAATCTTTGTTGTTGTTGTTTTGTTTTTAAAAAAATTACAAATGAAATGTACTGTAAAAGACAAGTAATTGTTTCCGTTGTAAGTTCTTTTTTTTAAAACGCGAATTACAAAAAGCTTTATCCAGGCCCTTTGTTTGTTTTAATTTTCAGTGAATGTGTTGAAGGCGAGCTTCAGTGCACAGGAGACAAATGCGAACTTGAATGTAAGGAAGATGAATTTGCGTGCGGTAGCGGTCGATGCATCTCTAAATACAACGTGTGCAACGGAAGAATGGAATGCCCCGATGGCAGTGATGAAATGGATTGCAAAGGTAACTACTCCTTAGGACTGATGCATTCAGCTGTGATCTGATGTTTGTGCAAGTTTGTATTACAAATGTTTTTCTGCGTATAGCTGAATGATTGACAGATGAAATGATTGTGTCTGTATCATTACATCTTGAAACTGTCAATCATAGATTGTACTTACAAAGTAGCGCTTGCTCCAACGGCTACCTGTATAAGACAGTCACCTGAATAAATATCCTCTTTCCTCTCCCACGCCGCCCCCCCCCCCTTGGGATTTAAAGAAATTTTAATGACACTGTTCAACAAGACAACCTGTCTAAGACAACCGTTTTCCTACTCGACCACTGGTGGCCATCTTGGACAATTTGGAATGTGTTTTTTGGTTGTCCGTGGCTGACGTTGTCTCGGTTCAGTGTCATAGAAAACCTCTGCAGTCCGCGCTTTAGACAATCATTTGGCGCTCAATCTCCTTTTCTAGGCCAAAGTTCACAGGAAAGCATTTCCTGAAAACCACATTTTGTACGACATTCTAAAACTACATTGTTAACGTATATATTTTCTGGTCGGAAGAGGGTACATTGAACAGAGCTTTCATTCCCTTTCCGTGGAGAATCCACAAATCTTATACTTTACCTATGATTACTTTTTTCCCCAGAAATTTGCACTGGATTCCTTTGCGACGATGGAGAATGTGTTGGCAACTTTACCGTCTGTAACGACATCATGGACTGTGAGGACCAGAGTGACGAAAGAGACTGCTGTAAGTCATTGTAGATAGATAGCAGACAAACATTTATGAATTAATGAAAGTCGAGATTTTTACTTTAAAATGTTCTCAGTGGTTATTGTGGGTTATAAGTTTTGACGGAAAAAAAAGAAATGGGTTTCTGTTATATATCCTAATTTTCCTACACATTCTGCTATAATGTAATATTTGTTTTTTGGTTCAATAATTACATGCCCATTAAAGAGCACATTTCTGAGAGGATTCTACTGAAAAATGTAGCTCAAAGGCAGAAGAAATGTAAATGTTCTGTTTCCACTAACTCGCAAGCTAAAGAAATAACTTTTGCTGCCATTTTTTCGCTAATTGTGACTGTGTGCTGTTATCGGTGTGTACGTGGGTGTGTGTGTAAGTTTTTGTGACTCTGCATGTACTGGAAAGAGAGTGTGGGGAAAAGAGAGCGAGCACTTTTGTGGAAACAAGGTTCCATGAAGTACTTGAAAGATTGAAAACATAATATATGCAACTAAAGTATTTAAACAGTGTTGTTGTATAGTAAAAGGATATTTCCTCAGCTTCTTTGTACAGCGAATGGCTGACAATGGGAATAAATAACTTAGAGCATTTTTGTTGCTTGCAAGAAATAATTTGTCTCTGTTTTAATCGCCTGTAGAAAATATAGATTGAGCTTGCCCTTTTGGCATGGGGTTGGTAAAGTAAAGGAGTAGTAGACATAACTACAACATTGTTCACTGTTAATTTTGTTTCGAATTATTTGAAATTCAAACTGTCTTTTTGTACAGGTGCTCAATTATTTTTGAAAATATTGCTTGGTTTGAGCCACTATAGAGATCGATTCCGGCCAACAAATAACTTGCTGTTAGATCTTTGAGGGAAACCATTATTACATTCTGTTTTAAAAAATTCAAAGTGTAATTTTGCTCATGCCATCAAACTTATATTTAAAAATATTGCTTAGTTTGTTCCGCTATAGCCAATAACAATGTTTGTGATAGATCTATACGTGAGCCTTTATTCTTTTTGTGTTTTTTATGTAGATACACCCTGTTCTTAGACAGGAAACATAAATGGAAAAAGAAGTGCATTGTGCCTTTTCTATTTTTGACAGCTGTACCTTGCGCAGAAGGACAATTCAAATGTCCAAACAGCTTCGTTTGCATCCCTGAGGAATATATTTGTGATGGAATGATTGATTGTCTCGCAGGAGAAGAAGAGATTAACTGTGAAGGTAAGTCATTTAGACAGGAAGATAAGAGAAATAAACTTGTAAGACAATAAATTATTAATTTGTGCACAAATCTACATTTGTGCGTCAGATTGTCTGTTCAAGATTAGTTGTTCTTCATCTAATAACTATATTTTATCAGTTTGCAAGTACTGTCCAACTTTTAAAAAACTTAAACTCAAGAGGTAAAACACAAAGGTTTTATTTGACTTTCTGAATGGAGTGATAACACTTAGGTATATCTTCTCTTTATTTCTATGTACAGTTTGCCGCATAAACGAATCCCACTGCAACCAGACCTACTGCATGCCCAAACAATACTTCTGTGATGGACACGACGACTGTGGAGATGGATCAGATGAGTCCGGCTGCAGTGAGTTCTCCAACCATCCTTCTAGTTCCTTTTTTCGTCTATTGATGTCTGTAACTGAGTGGACTGACTTTTCCTTCATGGACAGAAAGAGAGCTTTTACGGATCCGTTAGAGGTTCAAATATGCATAGGACAGAGATGATAAGTCAGAAGTTTAGCTTTACAGCTGTAACCAATTCAGTCTAATAGATTTCTAAAGCCATCCATCCCCTTCTCAGTTTATGAGTGCACACTGTAATTGTGGGCTGGGTAAGTGACACTCAGAAGCTCAGCAGACATAATAATAATTATTTTTGTTACATTTTATATATTATATTAGACACTTGCCTTAATGAAGTCAGCCACCAAAGTCAATCTCAAAAGAGAGCTCCTTGTGACAAATTCAATAAGAAGGAAACCAGAGAACAGCATTCTTATTTTGATTGAGTGGTATACTACATTGATCCGGGGCTGTCTAGAAAAAAATTGTATAGAATTGTATAGAAGCAGAATATTTGATTTCGAAATGAAAACTTTAAAAAAGTTATATAATAAAATTGACAACAAAATTAATGTGACCGGGAACTGTAACCCATTGATATGTTGTTTACTCTCAATGTGATTTTAAACTAATATGCTTTCTCCCTCTTTTTCTCTCTAACACAGCATTCCCAACGACAACCACCCCAGGTAAGATTCTTGAGAAAAACTCAACACAGATTGCTTTATTTTATCCACATGATACTTCTAGCTGTCACATTCCACAATTGTTATTTTGCCTTAAGAGGCAACTGTAGTATTTGCTGTTTCTGTAGACGTCAATGGGTCTATAAAGAAGGGGGATCTGAACAATTGTTTGTTTGTTTGTATGAAAGTCGTCTTAAAGGATTGAGATACAGTTTTTCTGGTAGAAAGGATTTGTTTGTATAAATATCGTCTTTAAGGATTGAGACACAGTTTTTCTGGTAGAAAGGATTTGTTTGTATAAATATCGTCTTTAAGGATTGAGACACAGTTTTTCTGGTATAAAAGATTTGTTTGTATGAAAGTCGTCTTTAGGGATTGAGATACATTTTTTCTAGTATAAATGAGGCTGGATACTTTGCTTGTGTGCAGGTACTCTTTACGGATACATATTTAATTATTTTTCAAGTATGAAT